AGTATGTGATTTTTGTGTATGTGTGGTTTCATTTATACCTACATTTATTTTATCATTTTTTCTACATTTAGAAGCATTTTTAGTACAAAAGTGATTGATGAATCATGATTTGTACGGGGTCCAGAGTCCAAAAATCATGGAATGTATTGCTTTAAATGCCACTAGGCAACGTTTCTACTCAGAAAGCTCTCTAATGGATGTTTTCAGAAATGTTTCAATAAGAATAATCCTTGTTTTTTTTTAATCAAATGTTGAAATTGTATTTAATGTTTGTAATGATGTGAGTTGGTTGCTAGTTGTTGTTTGTCATTACTACTGTATGTTACTACTATTTGTTTCTTTTAAAATAGTCATAGTTGCTGGTATGGCAATACAAACATACAGAATGGTGAGAATCGCACAATCAGAATTTGTTGTTTATTTGCATAGCACATTTAACAATACATATGTGGTTTTAAACTGGTTACAGAAAGTCGCTCTTTAATGACCCCACTGAGCAAGCCAAAGGTGATTTTGTGTATCACTTAGGATGGTAATGTAGGTTTGTGCACACGTTCATGTGTGTGTGAAGTGTTCTGAGGCAAATAATCACCTACAGCTGGCAAAGGTGTGAATTATGTAACTAAATTTTGACTGGTATTTTGGATGCATAATTACGTTAACAACATGTGCAGACATAAAAAATGCTTTTGGTGCGAAATTTACAAGTCAAAAAGTCAAAGTATGATATCTAAAGCAATTGCCCTTACCATGGTAACCATAGTTTCTGCAAAATGCCATAATTACTGTTATAAATGTATGATTAATAAATTGGGATCTGCTTCACACAGTGTAAGAAGTGTTTAGAATCTTTACCGTTACCACTGTTTTATTGTAGTAAGAGTGACTGTGGTATTTTAAATAGAACTCTGACATTTTATGAAAGATTAGGAAAAGTTTGTTTAAAATGTCTAAATACAGAGAGGTCATGCATGCATATCCAGTTCATGCCAGTGCCGTCTGCCAGTCACTTATATTAACTTTTATGGTGGCGTTTCATCCCAGATGTTAGTGAACATTAGAGACTTCATGCGGTAAATGCTATTTTATTAGCAATAGCAGTCCAAAACCTCCAAAATAAACAAACCAAGTCTTTCATGTGGCTTCAGCATTGGCAGAAGAGATATGAGAATCGGCACACCCTCTCATTTAGAGGCAAGGCTAAAATTATCATGACTTATTAAGAGGTTGAAATCAGAAAATTGACAACGTTTCAAATTGGGGGGCCATTTTATTGTAATGCCAACTTTACCACAACATATTACCGCACTTTCAATTAATATGCAAAATGCTATATTAATACTAGGTTAATAGTAATCAAATGAATGGCTGTTTTTGCCTTTTGAGTGGTCAAGGACCAAGAAAAGATGCATTAACGGAACCCAAATGCACTCAGACAAACAGAATGTGTGCCTTTGTTCGCTGCTAATTATTCCTCAGGAATGTATGAAAGATAACTCAGGACAGGAAGGAACAAATTTGTTAAATGGACTCTCCATTGTTCCCACAAAACCAGCACCATTTTAGATATGGCAGCCGTAGATTCTGTGAAATTACTCAATCTCATTGTTACAGAGCCTTATTACCCCCTAGAGAATAAAGTCTAGTCAAATACAATTTTATAGAAAGGCTGCCTCGCTCTCCCTCCTTCTGTACCATCCGCAGAAGTGGCAGGGATTCCTAATAGTGATTGGTAATACACTGATGAGGTGCTTTTGTTTAAGAAACAGATCTTTGCTGAAGCCTAATTGTGGAATGCTTAAATTGAAGTGCTCTCCCAAATCTTATCAGAAAATGGACTAAATGGACATACTGTGTATTGTCCTACTTAAATGCATGTTGGGTTTCTGCAAAGAATGCATTCACAAGATAGTCAACCTGATGCAATCACAATGGAAGCTGATTTGTTTATAACATCTGAGTTCCCTTCAGTGGCGCCTGATTAGCATATGCCGAGCAATGCATTTACACGTCCTTTCTGTAAGAACAACAATAGGTCAGTGAACTGGACAAATGTGGCCACATGTGATCTTTGTAATGGGTAACCAGTGAGTTCAACACTTCTGCCAAACATCGACCAATAACGAAATTCTTTTAGGTCTGAAAAACAAGATAAGCACTTTTCTGTTACTACAATGGCAAGATTTACGTGAACAAAACATTTTGTATAAGTTTAATCGTTGCACCTTCTTAACTTTTTGTAGTCCTTTCAAATAATGAATCAAGACATTTGTACATAAGACCATTTTTACTTCTAAGGTGATCACTGTGATGAATGAATTAATTAAGCATGCAGCATATTGAGGTTATGTGACAGTGTAGCATACTACTGTTTGATAATACTATTTATTAATGCATAACATGCACTCTATCATATGTCATTTCAAACAAAAGTAAGCAGAATATAGCGCATATTATGGAAACCTATTTCCATCACATAAGAAAAAAAAACTTGTTGAAAACTTGAAAAAAAAAAACTGTCATAGTATGCCATTTTTATAGATTTGGAAGAGAGAAGTTTAAATCGACTTGTCAGTCACAGAAAGTTTGTAGTTTACAAATAAACAAATAAATAAATAAAAAAAAACAAAATCTTGCAGTTGATCAAGTTACTTTCTTTTCCCTGATGTGAGCAGAGGTGAATAGCGTGAGCTGGCAATGTCCTGTTCTGAATCCGCTGTGTAATGCTGCCATTGTAGAAATTAATACACTTATAATGTAGGAAAGAGCGCGGATTGTTGGAGCACTATCAGTCTAAACAATTGTAAGTAGGCTATATGGGGTAAAATCACTATCCTACATGTCTACCATAATCCTTAAATTGTAGCTACTGTAATGACTGACTGTAAAATAAAGAATTTACAAGACAAAACACTGAAGGAAAACCATGCCATATTAACTTAAACTGGAATGTTTAGAGGTTTGTTACTGATCCAAGGTCTGCCTTCTCTAACCAGCTCCTTCAACGTTCCCACAAAGTCCATTTGATAGGCCAGTTTATGATGATAAAACGACCTGCAACGTCTAGATAGAAAACATGGAAAACCAACTATCAACAGTGTAACTTAACTATTCAGTGCCACATGTGTACGTCTGTTTCCAAGTAGGCAGGACATATCCAAATGTTGTGTGTTTTATGATTCATGATCATAAATAAGCCTTTACAGGTGTCCCACTTTACAAAGTGAGGTGGCACAAACCCTCACAAACCTTAATGAAGTTTTCAACAGTATAGACCAGGGGTGCCCAAACTCAGTCCTGCAGAGTTTAGCTCCAACCCCAATTAAACACACCTGAACCAGCTAATCAAGCTCTTATAGGCATACTAGAAACTTACCAGCAGGTGTGTTGAGGCAAGTTGGAGCTAAACTCTGCAGGACACCGGCCCTCCAGGACCGAGTTTGGGCACCCCTGGTATAGACCTTTTGTCATCCAATAATCGTTTGAAAAGCACCATAAAATCATTTGCAGGCTGGATCTTCCATCATGTGCTCGCTCAGAATCACAAAGAACCTTGTGACAATTATTAATGACTGTTACATTTGATAATCTCCTGATCAGGGCAATCGGTCATAAAACCTCTTTGTCCCACTTTAACTGATGGTCCACTTTTGCTAATGGTTCAGATAGGCATGCAATATCATCCGAAACAAAATACATTTTAGTATGAACTCCAAGCTTTGTTGAGAATAAGTTGTGATATGATCTGCAAACGATTGCGATTAAGAGGTGTTTAAATTCGGATTGTTTTGCAAGAAAGGTTCGTTCAGTGTGCTCAGTTTCTGTGTAGTGGATGGTGTAGGCGGCTTGCCGGGGCAGCCTCACGGAACGAGAGGCATTCTAGATGGACTCGCGTTCTCCCGGAGCCCGTGGCGCGTAGCGGAGCGCAGGACTTCTCTGAGATTCCTCGGAAATGAAGCGCGCTTTCTGCCTTCTCTCCGACCTGCGACTCTATAGGCTACGACAGCTCTGTGATTCCTCGCGCTGAGTTCGGCGCTGGCTGGTTGCTGCACAGAGCCAAATGAAGGATACGAGCGGAGTTGGAAAGGACTGACTCGAGACGCGATCGGCTCCGGAGCTGATGTTTATGGATTTGAGGAGACTGTATCGCGGCAGAACACGGATCGCGGTCACCGGATCGTACTGCACGGGACGTTAACGGATTTGACAGCTTGTAGGCAAGTGCTGACTGTTTGTCTAAGCAGAAAATAATTCGGTTGAAGTGACACACATATTCCGTTTAGAATGAGGACACCGTTGTGCACGAAAGCGAAATCGATGCGACCATGCAACTTATCTATCCATACTGCTGCGTAACGCGCAAGTCCCCTCGCTCAACGCTCCTGTTTGTGTTTATGGGTGAAACGCGCATTTTAAGGCACCATGCAGTGTAACGAGACTTGGTTGCAACAGATTTCAGTGTGATTAAACCCTTAAAGGAAAAAAAGCAGGTTGTCACTATATGCACATATATTTGTATAATCCATCCTCCTATTGATCAGAACTGTGCAATATTGAACGAAGTTCTGGATTCAATTATAATAACTATAATAATACATATACTCATGCTGGTGGTGACTATAATGTTTGTCTTTAATTTTGTGTTTGCATGTGTACAAATACGCAAAGACATGAAATATGGAGAAAATACATACTAAAATAATATAGATTAGATAGATACGATTCAAATAAGAAACTATGGCACAGTTTTACGCTTTATTTAGTTTCCGTATAAATCAGTAGCCTATACGAAATCCATACAGCGGCTTTTGTGCGTTTCTCATTTTGAGAGCTAAAAGTGGCTGGTGTTATTGTACTGAATCAAGTCATTTTGGTCAGCAAGTTCAATTGTCGCCTGATATAAAGGACAGCAGCAGCCGTGTCACACTTCCACGGCGCGCGAGGGCTGGACAGTGTCTCACAGAGGTCTCTGGGCTCTTTTATACGAGAGGTTGGGCTCCATATAGGTCGGGCTTTGCATATGCGTAATCAAACCAATGAGAATCCCCTGCGCGTCTGGCACACGGCAGAGCAACAAACTATAGGAAGAAGAGAAGCGTGATTTAGGGGGTGTATCCCTTGTTTAAGACGCTGTTATGGCAAAGCCAATCGCCAGATGTTTGTGTTCCTCACTCAGATTTTGAGACTAAGCAGAACGCCGGGTTACTACGCGGAGGCTGATTCGCGTATCCAAGCCACTTTTAGCCAAAGTCTAGCTACACGCGATCTCTCTCTCTCACTTTACGCACAGGATTACGCCCGTTTGCTCGTCTATTTCGCGGAGCTGCAACGTTTCTTCTGTCATTCTTTAGCAGGCAGAAGGAAATGGCAAAGGAGAGAGGAGCGCGGCTGGGAGAGCGCAGAGGATACCAGAGCTGAATGGCAGGATGCAAGCGACCTGAAGACGCACAAAACCCCGCATTTCTACAGCGCTCAGGCCCTTTTACGCCTTCTTTTGGTCTCCTTCCTTCCAAACGAGAGGAATTACCCCTATACGACCATTTAAAGATTTTCTTTTTTCTTAATTTTTCAAATTTTGGTTATTTTCACACGCGGAACTCAAGGAATCGAGGATGCATTGTGGATTAGTGTTGATCCTCTTTACGGGAATCTTTCTCATCGTCAGTGCTTTCAAAAATGGTGAGTGTCAACTGAAGCTTGGTGTTTAATGACCTTTTCTTGGGATTAGATGGGGAAAGCCTAAAAGTGATGGGTTGCGACTTAAGACTGGTCACCTGCTCTCACCTGCCGCCTGTTTCTGACACTGGATAGCCAGCCAAATCATTTTATCCGCTCTAATATTCAGTTGTTATTTTCCGCTGTACAGTAAAAGCACAGATTGTGGACAAATGTGTTCACATGATAAGCTATATTTTATAATAATTTCAATTATTAATATTAATGTTTGCAAAAAGGTGAATATTTATAAAATATCGTATTGTTATTTTACATTATATTATTAATTTACATTATTTATTATCATGAAAAAAATGTAGACTTATTACGTTACATTTCTTAAAAGATGAAAGTGACGTTAATGTGCTTTCAATTATTACAAAATGTAATGAAGCACGTTTTCATATATACCTATTCATATTTGAATATAACTTAACTACGAATTAGTGGATTGTTAAGTTATATCATTATATTACGTTTATTAGTAACTTTTTTTTAAGTGCTACCTAAAGTTTTCTGCTCGTCGTATAACTTAAAAGTTTTGTGTTACTGACCCTAATCTCGGCCAAATTTGGGAGACTACATTATAACATTATTCCAGAGAATCTGATGCCTAACTGTAATATAACTGGTCTGATATTACGAATTGCAATTATAAATAATAATTTTGCCCCATTAGTCGTGAATAAGTTTAGTTAAATTTAAGGTATAACTAATAATAGTTATAAACTTTGGGGAAAGTATTATTGATTGGGCCATTTTGGATATTTTATTGTAATTAGTCATGTATTTTCCAGTCGTCCGCGTGTTTTGCTAAAGTCACGCAATGTGTATCATGTCTGTCCGGAATGAAGTCTAGAGGGATTCAAGCTGAAATTTCATGGGGTCACTTGCATGTGGTTTTTGCCACTGAAGTCACTTAATGTGTAGATAATCGTGCATATATTGTCTGCTACATTCATGAATTAACATAATGATTAAATATAACAAATTCTGAGCGTTTAATAGTGATTATAGGGTCATGATTCCCTCTCAGCAATATTAAAACAAAATAATATAACAATATATAAAAAAAAAATTAAACCCCAAAAGCCTCTAATGATAAAGTCTCAAAAAGGTAATTTATTTCTATGATTTTTTCTGAATGCATTAAACTTTACTAGACCTCATTTAAAACATCTAATTTATTCTGTTTGCCTGAGAAAACTCTTGACACTCAAATATCTTGAGTTGTTTTTTATAATTACATATATTTAACGCTGGCAGTTTTACATTGAAGCTGTCATATTTTCTGTCTAAATGTGTTCATGTTTGAGTGTTTACATGTAAACATCTCTGTTAGACCGTGAGCCATGTGGTGCTCCAAAAGTTTGTTTGTTGTTGATGGATATGATGAAATTCAGTGTTGATCAGCTGTAGGGTGGTTGAAAGAGCAAATAAATAAAATATGGGAGAGACAAAGGTCATGCTTCCCTCCCACATAATGACATTAATGTAGGCGAAAATATCAAGCCTTTATTTAGTGCTTAGAAATAGGTCAGAAATGACTAGAGGAGCTTTTCTCAGTTTTAGTGAATGTTTGGAGAGAAATGGCATAGTCATTCTTATGTCAAACTATACAGTAGTGGTGTTCAAAAATACAGCATTAAGACAATGTCACATTGAACGTGGAATGTGTTTGCACCATGGAAACTGTTTTTATTTTCACTATCTATACAGTAGTTGTGGGTTGTTGGTTGGTGAAACTCAGATGTGCGACTGGTTGATGAACCTGATAAACCTGGTTCAGCTATGTTGGTGGCCAGATTTTCATCATGGCTGATTTGTATTTTCTTTTCTTTCAGACAAATGCGGGGACAATATCAGAATCACTAGCGCAAATTACCTCACTTCACCCGGTTATCCGGTATCTTACTACCCGTCTCAGAAATGCATATGGGTGATTACAGCTCCAGGACCGAACCAGAGGATTTTGATCAACTTCAACCCACACTTTGACCTGGAAGACAGAGAGTGCAAGTAAGTGTTCAGTGTTCACTATTTGGTGTGGAGGTGCGCCACCTGCTGGCACAGCTTGAGTGTGTGCAAGACGTTCAGCTGCTGTGGAGCCGAGGGCCACATGTGTGCTTGGTTTCTTTTAGTGCCGATTTCAGTTAAAATTTCCGAAAATATTTTTGATGTGTCTGTAAATGTGTTAAAAATAACACAATTTAAGTCAACACTTGAATGTGTCGGAGTTTCCTTTTACACAATGTGTTGGCAGTTCTGTCATGCCAAAAAGGTGAAACAGTAAGGTATTGACAGCTAGTTTTTTATTTTTACATCATGATTCAACAGTTGGCATGTGGTTTGGTTACTGCAGCTTGTTTCCACTGAGTGCAGTCGTCTCTCGCTCCTCTCTTTCTCCTTCTCGTTCCGTCTGTTTCCTTTGTTTGTGCTGGCGGGTCTGAGGGACGTCATTGTACTGTCAGAGTGTGACCGACTCTGTTACTGTATCCCCTCCACCCAGATAGTCTTCCGCCTGGAGTTCTTTGTGTTCACTGAATGCCTCGTATTAATGGCACCGTTTATCAGGATCTTTACCTTTTTATGGCTCTGTAAACCTACAGAGATTTACAGCCCCAGATGACCCCGTGCTGTCTGCTCATAGGGGGTCCGTCTCTTCTGAGAGTTCAGGTTTCGCTGCCCAGAAACGACCAGACCCCTCTCCGGTCACAGATACACACACACACACACACACACACACACACACACACACACACACAAATCTCCAACCAGGGGATACTTGGAGTGAATGGAGTGTGGAGAGACACATGGTGAGGACATAACGAGCCCTCCTAATGAAATTATCCAGCAATGGTTTGCCTGTGTTCGAACAAGCCAAGCTAAAGAATTGCAAGTTTAGCTCCCGAGGCAGTCAGAGGATATAAATGAGTTTAACGTGAGCTCTTTAAAGTGTGCTGGGAACTGTTTAGGATTATGATGTTCGGAAAACACTTCATAATTGCAATTGGGGATTATCGAGTGCTTCCGACTTTTTGTAATTTTTTCAACAAACTGGATACTAGCTTAAGTTTTTTTTTTTTGATTGTCCATGATTCACTAGTGCTCTTTAATCCAAATGTCTTCAAAATCTATTAAAATATAATAGCTTGCTCCGCCCCTAAAACAACTTTTCTTTTTGGCTGACATCACCACTTCCTCTTATTTTCAGCCCCTCCCATCCAACTATCTAATTAACAATATAAGTGGATTGTGAATGTCATTTTGTGTTTGCGTTAAATTCTTAAGCAGTCATTTTTTGGCTTCATCCGTAACTCCAAAATGCTCTTTGCATCATAAGGTTTTGCACTATGCCTTTGCATGTGGTTCATGAAATAGCAGTACAAGTTATGTTAAGTGCTAACTTGAAGACACACTCATGCCCTCAGCACTGCGTTTTCTGCTGGAACTCAGCTTCAGGGCTTTCTTCCCCTCCCTAAAACGTGCTGCGGTTGTATTTCCCCCTCCTAGGCAACATATGCCATTCACTGGCATTCAGTGCCACTCTATAATATCTCCACTTCAATCTATCATTTTAAATTGCTGTGGAGAACGGCCATTCAAACAAATTTAAAGTTGTTTAATAATTTCGGTCTTGATGGGCTGAAAGTTATGAGCGACAGAGATTGACACCCCCCCACCACCACCTCTATTGCTAATTCAATTCGGAGATCAGATAGACATCTGTTTGGTGGATCTGGTTTCTGCAGATTGGGGGGTGTTTTTTATTTTTTGACTCCCAGATTCAGCTGGACACACATTAAGGGCCTCTTGCATAATGGAAACTGTTTGATGGCCGAAATGGCTTCTTTATCAGATGTACTGCCGAGCGAGGGAAGCTACAACACATGCTTCAGTGCGCCGCTCTCAATCTAATTAGCAACAAATGGACTGCACATGCTCAGCATAACATGTCCGTTATCAACAAAGCAAACAAGAAATGCTTCATGTCCACTTGTGAAAAAAAACAGCTGCCGGATCAGAGTCAACACTGGGTGTTGCACGTGCCTGATGATCTCTGGCATGTTTTGTTTGTGACTGGAACAAATGTACTGATTGAGAGAGGTTTTTTATTTACTTTTGATTGTAGGACAGCTTGTAGATTGTTACATTGGTGTATTTAGTGTCATTAAAGCAGATGGACTTCAGTTAGGTCATAGTGTGTGTGTGTGTGTGTGTGTGTGTGTGTGTGTGTGTGTGTGTGTGTGTGTGTGTGTGTGTGTGTTTGTGTGTGTCAGAGGCCACCCTCTCCTGATAACACATTCCTCTGACAGCACTATGAATCATTGATGCGCCCCAATCCGCTGACCAAACAGAAACTGGAAACATTTCCTCCCGATTGTTACATTCCTGTCTTGAAAAGTGGTGAAGGGATGCACTGGATGGAGGAATTGTTGAAACGTGGCAAAGGACAGAGTATAGCTTTGCTCTCTAAATAGATAAGCTTTACTGCTTGAAGCAATATTCTTTGTACCTAGTCGGAGAATGCACAATAATGGCCGGTCTGTTTGGATTTGTGCATGTGTGCGCTCTTGTGAATAGTCAAGATGGCATTCAGAGAATGCTTGCTCAAGATTGGTCCCAAAGGAGGCCAGTAGAAGGCCCCTGGCTAGCCCCCAATGTCTCCGCAGTAACCCTAAGCCTGAAAGCACAGCTTTACAGTGACCAACCTTCAGCGCCGCCCTGCTGGGTCAGCCCACAAAGTGCCACATGTCCTGCAGAGAGAGCAAATACACTCTTGGCTGGCCAAACAAACCACACATCCTGTATCTGTGTTGCTCGGAGACTAGGACAAAGCTGATTAGTCATGGAGACTCTAACAGTAGATGCCAACATATAGATACACTTTCAATGGCTCCGGTACCATTCATTTGCTCAGATGCCCTGCTGTTGATGTGAAATAATGTTGTGGCTGAGAAAGCGAGGCGAGAAGAGAAAGAGTAAAACAGTAGATTTCACTGGACAAAGCTGATTAGTCATGGAGACTCTAACAGTAGATGCCTTTGATTTAGTTATGGGTTGTTTCATAAAGACGTTTTAGGTTTAATTCATATAGATACACTTTCAATGGCTCCGGTACCATTCATTTGCTCAGATGCCCTGCTGTTGATGTGAAATAATGTTGTGGCTGAGAAAGCGAGGCGAGAAGAGAAAGAGTAAAACAGTAGATTTCACTGGTGTTTAAATATCAACATGGCTCTTACACTCTGGCAGGGTCTTTATCCATTGTTTGCGTGGGCTCCAGTGGAGCAGGGGCCCCGTGGGTCTCCTCTCCCCCACTGAGAGGTTCCATAGCCAGGCTGGGAATGGCCATAACTCTCCCTGCTTCTTCCAGACACCTAACACCGGCCCTCTCCACTCCTCCACAACGAATGAACACGGAGAGAGCCGTACGGCATGAACATTCATCAGGGGTTGTCACGGAAGGGACTACCAAAGAAGTATGGAATGCAACGGACCTCCTTTCATCCTCAGTGATGAGGGTTTTTAAAGGCAGGGAATGCTTTGACCTCTGGGCAGCGGTGGAGGCTTGGGCTGACAGAGATTGTTTTAAATACTTATGGCCCCTGTTAACAAACATAAGCATGGCAATCTATTCTCAGGGAGGGTCAGAGAAGCAATCGTAGGATCAAAAGCAGCGCTGGGCCATTCGTGAGCTGTTGATGAGAGGCAGAGAGTCGTGCCTGACTCTGTGCTCCTAAAACAGGTGTACCACTCCTGTTTCATTTCACAAAGATGGCATTTTTTCTCTTAACGGTTGATGTGCTTTGTGTCGCCGAACAGACAGAAAGCAGACTGTAAGGCAGGGACTTTTGCTACCACACTGGGCAGTTTGCTGTGTTGGGAGGTTGTTTCTTGTCCCTAGACTGCTTCTAAATCACATTTGTTCTAGCTCTGCGCTGTATTCTGGGTACAGGGAAAGAAGGCAGCAGCTTTCATATGGAGCAAGAGCGAGGTGGTGTTACTAAAGCCAGTCCAGATGGAGAATGAGGCATAAACACTGAAAAACATACACAATAGTGCCCACATAGGCTACACTTATTTCAAAAACTGAGCTGTAAAAAGATGATGTAATTTCTCTCCTGAAGGCTCTGTGGTGCTTTCAAAACATTGCTCTTTGTTTGAGAATCCTGACAAGATTAACAACAGTTTAACCAATGGCATGAGTTTGGGGTGTGGCTATTTGTCTGGTAGACCAATGACATGTTTTTTTTTGTAAAATATTAGGCAATCTTATTGAAAAAGGCCTTCTAGAGGAGATCTCAACAATGTTTCAGAGTATGCTCAGATTTGAGATGCAATCAGATTTTCAATGTGAACTTTTCTAATCAAATTCATCCAGTAGCGAGTTATCTGAGCTATGTTATCCACATTCATTTTATAGCTCTGAAATGATTGTTGTTGTTCTATATTTTCAGCAGTCATGTATTTGGCATGCATTTCATCACCTCATTTTCTCCTTGGCCCTCTAGCCCTCTCGCATGTCACTGAGAAACTTGAGGTTGTAAAGTGGTCCAGCTAATGAGAAAGATTAAAGCAGTGTGTATCTTTCTGCATGTGTGTGTCAGGGCAAGGGGTTTTCCGCCGCTAAAGCACTTCACCTTGGCCCGTGTGTTGGAAGGACAGGCTGATTGAAAAGCTCTCTCTCAGTGACATCTGCTGTCCTCCCTGCTGTTCTGTCACTGGCTTGATTCATGTCCTCCTCGTTCTCTTGCTCTCCGTTTCTCTCTCAGAAAGCCTAGGCACTTCGCCACTCAGTGTAAGCTTATCAATGAGGGGAGGAGAGAGTGATGAAGTAGGGAAGTAGGGAAGAAAAGGAAGAGAGTATTAGAAAGTGAGGAGATGGAGGAGGCAGAAGGATGGACCGGATGAAAAAAGTGAAATATTCAAATAAAAACACTACAGGATGTGTGAGCTACAGGTGGATAAATGCAGCTTAGAAGGAGGAGTAAGCCAAATCAATTAGGAATAAAGTA